GAAGAGATAGGTGTTTATTTGCATATTACGAGCCAATTTCCGATAAAAACAATACTTCAGGAAAAGGCTTTTTCTGTCGAAAAGTAGTACGAGATATACTTGCATTTAACTTTAACATATTATATTCTGGAGTACAAGAAAATCCAAGCTTTCTACAGTAAATGGCCACACAGCTCATATTAAACCATTTTTATCTTAATAAATTATCAAGCAAAAAGTGCATTTTAAAAGTTTTACAGAAAGTATCCTGCAAGTTGTTAGAAAAAACAGAGCTAAATTTTTAACTAAATGTAAGGAAAACCGTCATTTGTCGCTCCGAGCACTCACTCTCCAAGCACTCAGAGATCAGAGTACTGAGTAACCAAGAGGCTGTGCTCCTACACATCAATTAAGATGGAGAAACAAGGCAACCCTCCTGTTGCAGGGGATGAAGGGGGAAAAGATCAGAAAATACAGAATAGGAGAGACCATAAATATCCTGAGGAGCTGGCTGAAACTGCAGAAACTCAAAAGAGAGCTAAACCATACAAACCAAAGTTTGTAGGAGGGAAGAGAACCATCAGGAACCAGAAGAGAGGCGCTCGCAGGGCAATCACCCGCTGCCTGTGCCCACAGACAAACTCGCATGCTCAGGTGACGGCGCCCACAGGTCCCGCTCTGAGTGACAACGGGGTGCTCTGCACCGCAGAAAGTTGCGCTGGAAGCTACAGGCATGGACAGAGAAAGATTGGAGGGAGAGGCAAGGCCAAGAGGGAGAGAAAGACGCTGTCAAAATTGACGGAAAAAAGAAAGCGAACGATCAGTTACTCTATTTGCACTGAAAACATTTAAAATTCATAATACCAGGGCTATGTTCCATATAAATGCATTAGCAAAGACAAGGATGACATCGAATCAAATCAAGGACACACTATCCAAGGTCTGTTTTTCTTCCAAGGAGCTGAAAATAATCTTTAATTGCATGAAGGTTTCAACTCAAGATCTTGGAGATCAAGCTGATGGCCCTTGGAACCAGAAGATGGTGTTACACTGATTTTAGTTACAGATAACTAAAACTTGTATCACGTCCCTGTGAGACGACAGCCGAAACAGGAATGGGACTGAAAAATGACTCCAAGTCTTCTGTTCTAATCCAAACACAAACTTCTACAGAGCAAATGTATCTTGTTATTATGCTTAGCATTATTAGATTTTATCTAAACAGCAGAAAGAGAAGAAGAACACAGAAGCCTAGAGAAAAGAAATTACTGTCTACTGTCTTAAGACAAGTTTAACATGCACCTGGGATCTTAAATGAAACTGTTTTCCTTCAGGAACAAACATTTTAGAAGCTTAGATGTTAATTCAAAACCCCTTATATTCTATAAAAAGCACATTTTCTCAAAAAGCATCCCTTTTTAAATATCCTCTATAGATACATTACCCAATCACTTTGTATTTTCCCCATCAGTCCCTCCTGCTACATAAATGGGGTAACTGCATATGCATGCTAGGCTTGGGAAACTGTTAGGATGTGCATAAAATTTCTATTACAGGAGAACCATATACATCTAAATCGTTAAGTTTAGAGCTCTCTTTCATAGTAACTTCATAAAGCATCTATGTTTCAGAGTCTAATACCACAAAGTGCACTGCAGACAATTTAACAGACACTGAGAAAGTTGTGATCAAAACTACAAAGAAGATCAGAATCTTGCTGAGATACATTTAAAATATTTAAATTTTTTGCTTTAAAATATTGCATTAGTATCAGAGGAATTTAGATTAGTTTAAGTTGAATACCTCTTGTCCTCGTACATACAATGTCTGTGGAAGCAGATCTCCACCAGACCGATGCAAAGTCCTCTACCCTTCTTCATCTTCCTCCCGAGTGGCAGTGGCTTGACAGCTGGGGCTGCTTTCATCACTGTTTTCCACATTCCTCACTGCTTATCATACTCACCATGTTTTTTTAAGGATGCCTGCATCTATTTATCTCATCTTCTACAGTGTATCATTCCAGAATGCATATGGTCCCCAGGGCAGAGACCATTCCTTATGCTTCCGATGCAGGATTCTGCCCCTGTATTGGCACCTCCAGACACAACTGACAGAGGAACAACCACCATCTTCCTGCAAAGGAGATGGTGATCTCTCTTGGACACATTTCCAAATACCAGCATAGTCTTGAGAAATACTGTTGACCTCTACAAGGGCCTGCATGGAAGGGATGAAAGGCTCGTCTTCAGGTGCACTGCAGAAATTCACAATGCTCCGAGTTCTCTCTCTGTTTATCCTCCTTTTAACAGCTCTTTATGCAGGAGAATAGATTGCATTGATTACTTTACAGATGTCTACTCCATCCCTTTCACTTTTGGGAGCCAAAAGCAACAGGGTTTCTGGGAGATGAGGGGTGTGTGCGACGCTAACCAGTGTTGCAATGCAAACCGGTGCGGACGCCCCTTGTACTCGGAGAATCTCTTCCAGGAGGTGACGGAGCTCCTAAAGCTGGCTTCTCCTGCGGGTCACTCCACAGCCAGACAAATTAACCTCCTTAGGTTAAGGTTAACCTTCAGAAGTATTCTCCTTTACATACCTTCACGAAATATGCTTTCTGATTAGTCATATGAAATATGACTTCATTTTGCTCTGATTAAATAGATGTATCATTACACTGTCACATTCAGAACAGCTATAATTACAACTGAGTCAACAGCCCATTTTCAGGCTATTGTCCTAGACCAGTTTAAAAGCAACTAATTAAAAAAATTCTGGGGCAGATATCTACATAAATCTAAGAAATTCTGAATTTAATCACTGAGAAAGCAAATGAAAAATCAGACGTTCACTGCTCTATGGCAAGAAATAGTTCTAGTTTCAAAATACTATCATAAAATATTTGACATTTTCAAGTTAAAAGTTATAAACTTGCATATTTAAAATTCTGACATCAGTTATTTTGCTATAATATGTATTATTATAAAACACCTGTCATAGAAACAGATTTGTGGTACAAAGCTCAGATAAAAACAAAATGGAACGAACTCAGATACAATTCAGATAATCAGTGCATGTGGTCAGTTTAGAAGTTTGTGGGGGTTTGCAGGAGCTTTGGGGGGCTTTGTGGTGTTTTGCAGACAGGGGCTACAGGTGCTTTTTCTTTTGTAGTTTTAAAGATAAAAAAAACTTTTAGCTATGGATTGGAATGCAAAACCAGTTAATAGGTTTGCATCAGCCATTTAAAAAAAAAAAAAGAAAAAACAAACCTCCCCCTCCCCAACATTTTACACTATTTCATTTATGAATAGTAAATGAGTAAATAAATGGCTTGGCAGCAATCCGCTGGGTATCATCCACAGAGCTGACACAGAGGGCCAAAAGTCTTTAAAATTTTTTTTTTTTTTTTTTTTAATCCCCACCCTGTCCCCCAGCCCTTATTTAAGCACATGGTTTCTTTTCTGTGGTTTCTCACTTCAGCCCAAACTCTACGGAAAGAGCTATCTCAGCTGAAGTACCAACGTGACTAAGCATTCCCATTTTTTAAGCAATATTACACGTCCAGACCTCCTTAATAAGGGCGGTACAAGTAAGCCGAGCTTAAGTAAACTGATCCTTACATATTTAATGTCTACAGAGCAGGAAGAGAAGAAAGCAAAAGAGTCGACATGTATACTGGAGACACGGATGACGATACAAACAGGCCAACATTTGCCAGCAGGAACTCCAAGGTGAGGAGCTGCAGTTACCTGGTTGAGCGCACGGAGCCCATCTGCCCTTCAAGGCAACGAGTACCTGCAGCTCCGCTTCACCTGATGATGGGGTGGACTCGGCACACGTGAAACAGCCAAAATTCGGCCGCACGTACGCCCACGCATTCACACGTTGATTTTGGCAACTGCATACGGAAACCCTGAAGCCCAGCATTTTCGTCCCCATACACAGTGAGCTTCCATTTACATTTTATCAGACATAAAAACCAAACAAGGAAAACCATCCTGCACAGGGACTCGCACACCCAGCTGTGTTTCTCCCTTGTGCCTCTCCACACCGTCACGTCACTTAGAGTCTAAACTTTTTGGGACCAAAGTCAAGAGCAAATTTCTGGCTCCAAAGTCAATGCCATATCTCATGATGTCAAGAGCACAAGAATTTTGCCCACTGCCTTCAAACCCTGCTGGCTTTCACATGCAAGAAAGTTGCACAATCTTTATTCTAGCCTATATGAGTTGCAGTATAAACACAAAATTGTAATAAATAATAATGAATATATGCCTGGCCTCAGGTTTATAAGGCAATCCCCCTGTCTTGGGTGACTACTTCTTGGCAGTAGCATTAATAAAATACCAGCAACTCGGCTAATTTTCTGACCGAGCATACCAAATAGCAAGAGTCTGACAAAGAGTATATTTTTTAATTTCTTTAAAGGCTTTTACCTCAATAGGTGGGTTTGCTCGAATGTTCTAGATTTCATTACCTCCTTTAAAAGAAACACCCTTCCCTCCCCAATTTCACAAAAATACTGCATCTTCAGACACACAAAATAATTTGTGTCCTTTAAAGCTAATTGTAATTACATAGTTCAGCTAAATAATTAACCAATTCCACAATGCTGCACAAAGGAAACAAGCAGTACAGCTTCATACAGCTTGAAAATTAGAACATCAGTGGGTTTGTATACCAATATTTTCAAGTTAGCAATATATGCATAAAAAATGTTACACTTCAATAATACTTGCTTCATATATTAATAGGCTAAAAAGCAAGTTTTACACATTTCATATGCAAATGGCATTTTTTATACTTCCTGTTAATTTGTAAGCTATTCTATATGAAACAAATTCCAAGATTTCAAGGTCCCCCCCTTCCCGTTTAGAAACGATTCCACAAGAACAGCCCACGCTCAGCCAGGACCCCAGCATCTCATCCAAGCAGCAATCAGGGTTTGAGAAGTGAACATTCAAATAGCACCATGGTTGTCAATACATGTCAGAGAAACGCAGCACAGACAAAATCTTACTTACTTTGGAGGCCCACGGTTGCAGACAGTTGGCATAACATCGAACAAGAAAAGCCATTTCTTAGGCTGAGGAAAAAAGTTTTCCTTTCTCAAATAAAAGCCACAGAACTAAAATATGGAGTAAAATCCCTCCCGGCTTCTCTTTAAAAATCATAAACCAAAGCAGCAAATGTACATGTATGCAACTTCTCAGGCTTGAATTTCACACTGAATTCGATTACAGCTTCCAGTGTATCTGAGTAGTTTTCAGTATTGCAGTGAGTTAGCAGCAGCAACAGCAATTCCTGTAAAAATGTTCCAGTTTTAACAAGCACATAAATTCAAATCAAAATGTTTCCTAGCTTTTCAAATACAAATATCCGTATGTTCCTGCAGGCAAGAGGCATGTACCCAAAAAGTGCTTCTAAAATTGAATTAATTCTGAAATGGATTAGAACTGCAGGTTAAAGCAACAATATATTAAAAGGCGAGATATTAATTCTTCAAATTCCTTTCTTCCTCTTCACTAAAATGCATTTGTGAGTGGCTTATCTTCGGGTCCACTTTTCAGAAACTTCACATTCATATTGTAGATGAAATTTTGCAAAGGTTCTTCAGCGTCTTAGGCGATTCAGGAATCCCACACCTCGGATATTAAAGTTTCTTCTTTATACTCTTGTCCATCATAACTGCAAAAATTGAATTAGTGTCCGGATTGTAGCTCCAGGATATATGCTCTAACAGGTTTGCACTGTGGAATGCATTAAAAGCCTCTGCAATACAAACCCTTTTCTGTTTTACCCCCCCTCCTTCTTTTTTTAATGCAGTTTACAACTCTGCAGTGTTGCTTAGTATTCTAATGCATCAGTCAGACACCACGGTTAATCCACGCCTAGCTTTTCCAATTAAAACATTTCTGTAATGCACAACAAAACAGTACGTCCATGGCTACAGCAAGACTGACTGCTGGAGTCCTAATTCCTACTATCTTTGCTTGCTTCTCAGCAGCTCCCTCAGGAGAAGCTCCCATCGATTGGATGCTCCGCAGCAAGATGAAATATCTAATAAGGAGGAAAGAGAGTGGGAGGGGAACCGAGCTAAAAGGATGACATCACCTGTATAGAAAGCCTTTAGAAACTGCATTAGATCAATTGGCTACTGTATCTGCAGATGCAGCCAACAGAGCATCTTTATTGACCTAATACAAACACACATATCGGTACAGCAACTGCTCAGCAAAACACCCCTGCTCCACATTATAATTTTATATCATTTTATGATCTATTAATGCATATACTGTAACTCTGAATATTCTTCTTTTTCTAAATCATTTTTTTAAGTGAGTCGCATGTGTCTATTAACACTTTCAACAGCATTTAGGTGGATTATTTCTCACCTTTGCATCCAAATTTAGAAATAAGTAAAATAAATGTCTGCAGACATTCACATGCACGCACACAGATACACCCATAATCAGTTCACAGTAAAATACTTTCTGCTTTTATACAAGCATGTCAAACAAGAGCCTCAACATTTTTATTTCATCCTATACACTCATTAGATTTCTGTCTAGAATGAGAAGTAAATTTCTTATTGAAAGGTGATGTTTATATTCTCATAATTTTAATGGTTTTGTAACCATGTTAAAAGTTTTGGTGGGTGGGGTTTTTTTTTTTCCTCTCAATCAAGGCTAATTCTGTTTCTAACCAAAATTGCGTTAATTCTGCAGTAGTCAATTTAGTTTTATAATTTCTTTTTGCAACTAAAAACTGAAATATTTGCAAGCAGCTTAGTATCTTGGATGGCAGCCCAGCCTGCTGGAGAGCTGCTCTGAGGAAGCACCTACGAGATCCCACACCTTTGAGCTGGGACTGCCGCGATGCTTTCAATTCCTAGAAGGCAAATTACTTCTGCTACTGTGCAAGAAGGGAAGAAAGCACGGAAAAGAAAAGAAGGGGGACAGAGGGTGCTGGCTCTGTTAAAGCCATTATTTAGTACTTTGGATCATTTACTTCATCTGCAAGAAGGGGCACTCACTGTTTCCGTTTTCCTCTTTGGAAAGAATTTTCATCGCCATATATCCCATTATTCCCAGTCCTCAGACTCAGGGCTAATTCTCCAAAACCAAACTAGCCCTTGATGGCCATACCTCCTGTACAGAAGGGGAGCCTCCAAGAGTGGCCTGGTGGCCGTGAGGGCCAAATATCCCTTTTTTTTTGTTGTTTGTTTGTTTATTCTTGAATACTGAATTGGGCAGTTTGAGGCAATCCACAGAAAGCTCTTTTTCATCTACTGTTTCAAGGGGCAAGTGGAAGAATATTCTTACATTTTGAAAGCCAAGTTACACCAACGGGACACCCCACCCCACCTCAAACCTACAGCTCCTTTCAGCAGTCATCCAGGAGTTGAATTCTTCCTGGCATATAACCCAAGTTACGACGTGAGTTGCGCCTTAACCAAGAAAAAACCTTCCCCTAGCACCTTCCAAAACTGGCTTAAAAGAAAAAAAATTTACATTGATACCTGAATTTACTTAACCCCTATCAGACAATGAAAATAACAATAGATGCAACCAGGCTTCATAAATATTACTGGCTTTAATTCGCATTTAAGCATAAAGGAAAAACTGAACTTCATTGCTGTACTTGCAAAATTTGCAAACCCGAAGTCTGTTTGATTTTTAAAAGCTGAAAGAATTTTAGATAATTATTTCAGATTTTTAAAATGCATTACACCAGCCATATAAATAGCTATCTCTTTTACTGTTCCTTCCATACTGAACAATAGGCTAGATATGTCAGCTTCACCTTACATATAACTGTATTGCATCTTCTCTAATAATTCACAAAATTGTATTCAGAAGCATCTTAAACATCAAACATAATGCCACATTGTTCAGCAGCAATGAACATCCAAATACTTTTATGCGGTGTTACCTGTATTATAGTTATCACCATCACAATTTATATCAAGGAGAAAAGAAAACCCACCCAGCTAAAGGAAACCTCTCCCTGCCTGCACGCACACCGATAGCGCACAAACTCCATCCCTCGGCTAGCCGGGCAGATATTCATCTCCCAACCGCATTTTAAACCCGCTGCATTGTGCAAGAAATCCAATCCTCTAAAGATTTTGGCGCGGATGCCATATTTTACAACTACTGTAAACACGAGCTCAATAATGGGAACAAAATTCTATTTCCTTCTAGTTTTGCCTTTAAGTGAAGATGACATCATCCCTCTGCCCGTCCCGCCAATGAGCGCGGCGGCGGTGGTCCCGGGGGGCTGCAGCCAGCTCTGCGCAGCCCTGCCCGCCCACGCAGCCCTGAGCAGGGGGAAAACCTGACCTAGTTCCACACTCCAGCTTTTCGGGCATCCCCCACTCATGTCTGGGTTTTTTGGGGTTTGTTGATTTTTGGGGGTTTTTTGTTTGGTTGGTTGGTTTTTGTTTGGTGTTTTTTTTTTTTTTAACACGTGCATTTCTGCAGCCCCAGCTCCCTGCTGCACAATGCTGTAAGTTTTTACAAATCGTCTGTTTAATGACAAACCTCAAAACTAAAGCAACTCGGAGATGAAAAAAAAAATCCGATACAAAGGCTGCTCCATAGTGATCATGATCAAAATACGGTTGTGACGAAGCGCAGCATCGGGCAGAATCACAAACAGTAAATCGCCAGTCTCATTTTAAGCCAGATTCCAAGTTTTCAGAGAATCTTAAGGAAAAAACCCTTCGGTCTACAATCTCTGAATTAAAGGTGGTCTTTGTACCTTAACACTGATTTCTTTCCATGCTTGAAATATCACTCTGTATGTTTCTATGCATCATGTTCCTTTTATCCTCCCATAAATGCTACCTGAATCCTCCCGAGTGTTAAACAAATCTGCATGTTCTAATTGTCTAACAAGACTAAGTCACTGAAAAATGGGATGTTTTTAAAAGGATAGTGAGGCCTTTCATAATTTATATGCACATTCAGTTAAGCAGGATTAGAGTCTTCTCTTTTTTAAGGACACCACGAATTGAAGTTCTGCAAAAGCAGGGAGCACTCGCAGCTGTCAGCAGAAGGTACCCATCAAGCAGCACTACTTTTTCCTGATCAATCAGAAAAAGAAAAGCCCATTGTGCAGCGCCGGTGGGGAGGACGAGTGCTGCTCTCAAAACCATCATGGCACTGGCTGAAAAGACAGAAGCAAAGACAGAAGCTGCCGGCGTGCCGAGGGGCCTGGGTCTGAGGGCTGGGCTTGCAGACTTCTGTCCTTTTGTCCTCGGAGCCAGGCGACCGCTGGCACGCTGTCCTCTGCCACGTCCCCCTGCAGCAGTGCTCAGCTATGAGCAGGTACCTTAATTTGCTCCCCCCGCTTTTGAGTACAGTACCTAAGGTAGCATCCTGACTCCAAGCCCACAGTGGGGGCTAGGGAAGGAGATCAGCTGCTTGGAAAGCAATCTGTCATTTCACACACTCAAGCAAAGATGTTTCAGGCTAAAATAATTCATCTTAATACAGTTTTGCAAGTGAGAATTGCCAAACACAGCAGCATAATGCAGAAATATTTTAGCATTAAGGGCACCTGCATCAAGAGGTTGTTTCAATATATTTGAGTACTTTAAATCTTTTGGAAAGGCAGGCGATGGGGAGCGTGGGGTGCAGTACGTAGAGCCAGCTGCAGCACGAGCTGGATGGAGTCCCTGCTATGCTGGCACAGCTTGCTTGATTCAGTGTCACTGGCATGCTTCTCCCATTTCTCCCCGCCATTTAACTTAAGCATCTTAAATGAATCATTGTACTTCCGTGGCAAGGTTAGACCCCCCATTAGGGCTTCTGTTTATTCCTGTTTAAAGGAAAAAAGAGAAAAAAAAATATACAACTCTCCACCCTGTTCCTGACCCTTTTAGGAAGCGTAGGCAGGGAAATCAGCACCGCAAGCTCCCGTTCCCCTTCAGGGTGACATTACATGGTGCAACTGCATCCTTACATACATCGCTTTCCACGGTAGCACTTACTAACAGGCTGTAGAAAAATCCTACCGAAAGATCTGTAGGACTCATAAGTAGTATGAAAACACGATCCATCCTAAGGGA